TAAAAAAAAAATGCAAAGCCCAAAACAAGTATTTCCAATGGAGGGATACTACTACTGTACCAATTGTAAATTCTACAATAATAATAACAATCTAGCCTTATCCTAACAATTTTGAATTCTATGTCTTCTTTAAATTTGTAACCTATTAATTTTCTCTTTATAAGTGTTGAACCATTTCTTATATCTTATATACACACACATTATAGGGTGAGTATATATTGATCTTTAGTGGATCACATATCTCTTCTCTCACCGTTTTTCCTATGATTGTTATCAGCTAAAAATTGAAATTTTTTATTGACTCCATGATCTCATGATAAATATCATGTATCATATGCTATTTTATTTTTTAAATGTAGTTATTGGATATTTTAGATGTGGTGTGTTATGTCTATTCTAGAATCTCTAACTAGGTGATAATTGTATTTAATCTCTCATTTTATTTTATATTTCTTATTTTACATTATTTTCAGTCTTAACAATAAAAACTTATATTTCATATCAAAGGATAATAATTCATGTTTGTGATATGCTAATCTATAAGTGTATGATTCGAAGCACGATACATATAGATTCCAAACAATAAATGAGAGGTTGTGAGGGTTGATGGTGAGGTCAAATAAATTCTACATTCACGTTCTACATGAAATAAATTGAGTGTAAAGCCAAAGTATACATCTGATATCTTAATTTTGTGTTTGTTCCTTGTAAATGTTTCCTTTTCCCTTTGCAATTGTACAAGATGTACAATAGATAAATTAAATCTAAAATGAACCTAAATAATCTTTTTGTAAGCTAGAGGTTTTAGACCAATTTCACCTATATTTAGTGTCAATTTCTATTTATTTCTTTTGTAGTTTTGATAGAACATATATGTCAACCTAAAAGGAGTTCAAATTTTTATAGTTAAGATCTACTTAAAAATTCTTTTGGACGACTAAATAAAATATTATATCACTTCCAATAAATAATTAGTTCTCTCGATCATCTCTTTCTATTTAAAAACAAAGCTAAATTTCATTTAGAAAACATGTTGTCATTGTGTTTTTATTAATATGTATATCCAAAATGAAGTTAACGTTTTATATATGGTTATCCAAATATGAAAAAGTGTATACTTTTGTTTAGAGGACATGTTGTGATTTTTTTTTTCAATATATTGTTCATCTTTCTCGCGGATAACAAGTTATATTTTTTCATAAAATAAATATAATTACTTAATATTTTAGTAAACAAAGTTACAATATTCTCTAATTTGGATAACAAATTTATTGTTTCACCTGCAAGTAAATGTAAGTAAATATCCTTTTTATCAAGATTAAGTATGTATAAACAAAATCTTTGATAACTAGATAGGATCCTCCAAAATATAATGCAATTTAAGGTTTTTTTTCATGCATTTAAGATCCTTTTAAAAGTACTCAAATCTAATAATAGTTCATAATGCTTATTCAACGTCTAATATTGTATAAAACATGATATACATAAGATTTCCAATGGTATTGCACATGATATTTTAAATATTTTAATCCTCTTCTTAGTGTATATAAGGTTAAAATTTGAGGATAATTACAATTGATAAAATATAAGGTTAAAATTTGCTTAAAATCGGGCATGTTAAAATGTTGAAACACTTCTAGTAAGTAATTTTTTTTTGAAAAATCCAAACCTTTTTATATATATTTTTTATCTTGATGAATTTATATCATTAAAATCAAGAATGTTGGTTTTAAAAATTTCATGTAAAATTTATTAACCAACTATGCATTTACTTATTGGATTTGAACTTTGTTGAAACTTATTACCAATACATCATTGACATATAATAATAAGATGATAAAGTCAATTTTATCAAATCTATTATAATAGATACAATGATTCGAACTTAATTTAAATATTTGATTCAGATTATATAAAATTTTTATCTTACATACCAAAATTTCTATTTTTTTAAAGTCTTTCTATTAAAAAATATATATTTTTCTCCAACTTTAGAAAGAAAAAGTCTTTCTATATGATATATAACTATTTTGTTTTCATTATTGAAATTATATTATTTTTTTATTTAAATTTAAAGAAAAAATAAATATACTAAAAATAATAAAATATAACTATTGAAAAAACCTTAATATATATATATATATATATATATAATATATATATATATATATATATATATATATATATATATATTTTCTAAATTATACTAAAGCAGTAAAAAAATATTTTTAAGTTGTGCTCGTATTATAACATGAATTCTTTTCTTTCTTTGCCTTTACCAGAAATTAAATACAATTTACTAGCATCCTCTCACTCTACCTATCCAACTTACGCTTCCTAAAACCCTAAAAATGACTCAATTTATAAGGATCTCGAGACGAAAGGTAGATAGAAACCTAATTTTTTCTCCTTCTCATCATGCAAAATTCAAATTTCATTATTTGTGCCTCCATGTGATCACACCAACAATAGTGTGAGATTAGTAAGCTTCGGCGCAGCCCTAGATCTGGCACAACCATAACCATGATGACCATATATGTTGGGTTGGGATGATACTTGAAAGATTTAGGTTTTGTTTTGCAACCTTGAATGTTGACAGTGGTATCAAAATGTACGTGTAAGCATGGGTTTTGAAGAGTGACTATTTTATGCACCATCATTAATTGAATTGTTATTTAGAATATTATATTTTTCTATTCAACTTTTCCATTAGCTATTAAAGACTTAATCCCATCATCATTTATCAAAAAAGTTAATAACACGATTTTTTTTTTTCTGAATTTCTTTTATGATTTTTGTAGCACAAGGAAGCCCTGCTCTAGAAAGGTGTAAATTCAGGTTTGAGATCTGAAATCACTTTTTAAACTTTCTGTTTTTATACTCATCTAGAATTTAGTAGAGCTCTTAAAAGTAAGTGTTTCAATTTATTACGATCAATAATTTTTATATTTTAAAATATATTATAATTTTTAATTTTATAGGTCAACATAATAATAACGAATTAATTTTTATTTGATTGAAAATTAAAAAAATTAATATATTTATATCAAACTAATTAATTAAAAACTTATATAGAAAAACAATATATTTTTAAAATTTAAGTTATAATAATAAAATTAATTTTTATTTAAAATATAATAATTTAATATATAAATTATAAAAGAATAGATCATTTAATTTAAAAAAAAATAAAAATTTTACTTTTTTATTATTATCATTAATTTTTTTAAATTATTTATTAATATAAATTAATAATTAATATTAATTATTAAATATTGATTCTTAAAATAAAATAATTTTTTATTAAATTAATTTATATAATATATATATATATATATTTAATAAAATAATATTACTTTTATTTTTATTTAAAAATATTTATTATTCTATAAAATAAGATGACTTATTAGTTAAATTTAAATCTATTTAAATTTACGTAAATTATGATTTAAATGGACTGAATGAAACTAGATCTAATAAATTTAGATAATAAATTTTTTTAACATAATTTTATTGAATTTTTCAAACCTACCCATCAGGATAAATCTATGTTTAAGTTTAGTCTTTACGTTTTAAATTTAATGAATTAATCCTTGAATTTTATATTTTTTTCTTCTAACATTGTGATAAAAAAAATATTTTTTATATGTTTTTAAATTTGAGAGATTAATTTATCATTTGAAATTATAGATGGATTGAAATATTATAAATCTATTTCTTCCTTCTTCTTCTTTTTTTAATGTTTCTTCTGTTTATAATTTATTATATCACTAAAATAATTTATAAATTGGTAATCTTAGTTTTTTAATGATTTAAATAATATTAAATGACACAATAATTTTAAATTTTGAAATTATTAAAATTCAAATTATATATTAAACTAATTGATGAAATATGAAAACTTATAATACATTACTTTGATGCAAAGTGGATCATACAAAAGACATAAAAAAAAAAAAACCCCGTAACAAATAAATAACAATAACAACTTCCAAATATTGAACGTATTTCTCAACTGTTACTTTTACAGTAATTCAAGATGTTAAAACTGAACATTTACTAATTACATTATTATATAATATTTGAATATAATAATAATAATAATAGTAAAAACAATTATTTTTATCATATTATAAAAATAAAAGGCATTAAGAAATCGAGTTTGAAGACCATGGAAAGAAACACTTTATAAGGTTTAAAATGCAAAATATAGTAAAATTTCACTACTAAAAAAACTAGAATATATCTTCAATCAAATTATTTTTACTTGAAATAAATAATGGCAATAATAAAATATTATATTTTTATATAAAAACATAAGAAATAAATTAAAACTTCGGTTTAGAATGGGGGACCTAATAGTAAATGGGTATTACAATTATTTTTTTAAACACATGGTATGCATTCAGATCTAACAACCTAAATTCACAGGAAGGGATCACCTGGGGTATATACAATTGGAGTTGAGGATAAGTAAGAAAATAAAATAAATAAAAATGATTTTTGGGAAAATAAAAAACACTTGTGTTGTTACCGCGAGAACTGTACAACATTAAAAAAAATTATATATTTTTGAGGTGTGTAGAATACGTACAAATCTGAATTTGAAGTTGCAACCCTTCTTTTCTGTTAACGTGGGACGCAAAATCCCTTTCTTCTTCTCCTCTCACGCAATCTCATTCTCATTGCTTCTCTCTATGTAGCATCAACCTTCAGTGCTACACTTTTCAACGCTCCCAATTTCCAGTCCCATTATGTAGGTACTGTATCGCCTCGATTTCCTCGTTGTCTTCCTCATTCTTCTCAATTCAACCTCCATTCTGCATAATAATACCCATTTCAACACACTCCGACTTCGTGATTATCTTTTTTCTGAGCTTAATATAGCTGTTTCAGATCTTGGGTTTCACGTCAAACTTCGTGTGAATCTTGAATTCCAATGAAATAATTTTTTTAAAATTTTTATATATATTTTTTTAATTTTTGACCTGGCGCCCAAAATGGAGATTTCGAGTGGAGGTTGTTCTCCCAGAAACAGGTCTGATAATCCGAAGAAAGAGGGATCCGAGGGAACCCCTGTTCAGAAGTTGGAACTCTCAAATCGCGATCGCAACTATGAAATGCAATCAATGAATGCTTTGGATATTCTGAGAGAGACTGTTAGGATTCTTAGGTTCAATTCATGGGGTTTCGTTGCAATCGCTGTTATGCTTATTTGTCCTGTTTCTGCTGTGCTTTTGTCTAATGTAATAGTGGATATGTCTGTTGTGAAGAATCTATCTATTAGGCTTATGTTGGTTGCCCAAGCTAGTGGTCTTCCTCTGAGACCAATTATCAAACAGTCATGCCAGCGATTTGCGGAAACCGTGGTTTCTTCAGCCATGTGCTTTCCTTTGTATGCTACATTGTTGTTATTGTCCAAAGCTGGGGTTGTCTATTCTGTAGATTGTACTTATTCCAGAAAGAAGTTTGATGCTTCCAAGTTTTGTGTAATTGTTGCTAAGTTTTGGAGGAAGATCCTGTTCACATATATGTGGGGATGTACAGTTGTAGTTGGTTGTATCACCTTGTTCTGTGTTTTCCTTGTTGCGTTTTGCAGTTCATTGTCTGTTCTTGGGTTTTCCCCGGATATTGTTGTGTACTGTGCAATGCTGGTTGGGCTGGTTTTCTCGGTTGTCTTTGCCAATGCCATAATCATCTGCAACATTGCGATAGTGATCTCTGTGTTGGAGGACGTTTCGGGAGCGCAGGCAATGCTGCGGTCTAGCATTTTGATCAAGGGTCAGACTCAGGTGGGTCTACTGATTTTTCTTGGATCGACGATAGGGATGGCCTTTGTGGAGGGCTTGTTTGAGCACAGAGTAAAGACACTGAGCTATGGAGATGGATCTTCAAGAGTGTGGGAAGGGCCACTCTTGGTGGTAATGTATTCATTTGTAGTGCTTATAGATTCCATGATGAGCGCAGTTTTCTATTTCAGTTGCAGATCTTCTACCGTGGAGATCTCAGATAAGGAAGGCAACTCAATTTTAGAAACTATGGCCATATCTGCTGCGTCAATGGGAATTCAATGACATTGTCAGCATGGTATTGATTATGTCAATTGAATTAATTAGATGAAGAGGGATGCTGTAAGAGATTGCTCCCTGAAAACCGAGTTGCCATTGAGGAACCTTGCAAGTTGCATCAATTCATCTTCTGAGCATTAGATAAGAAGGCTACATAGAGGGGATGACTTTGAATGGCTTTTATGTTAATGAGCTAGTTCATTTCAGCTTATGCTAATTGCTTTTTAGTTATATTACAAACATGGGAGTAAAACGAAAGCGTATAGTCAATGTATTTGTTATTTTTTTTTTTTTTTGAGTTTTAGTAGAAAAGATAATATTTTATATAGCAAATGTAAGAAATTAATTTGAATCAAATCACATTTTTGTTGTTCTCTTGTAATACACAGTTTGAAACTTCTGCCTTCATACTGCATTGGGTAACAAGTTGAAATTTCTGCTTAATTGATTTTTTGTTTCAAACATGCTCATCTGAGTCATCATTATTTGAGAAAGATGTCATAGGTGAGCGAGTCTATTGAATTCTGTTCTATTTCTGCCTCATTATTAACAAATATCTCCTTATACTTAACATTTCTTTCTTTTTTGTTCTAAAATGTCTAGGGTTCTTTCTTTCAAGGGTAAGGCATCCCCACAAGCCTCGCGGAGAGGTCTTAGGTTGGTATTTACTAATCAGCCTAGTAAGGGAGATCACTTGTCGTGTTGTTTAAAAGGTTGTTGCCTTTTTCAGTAGTTAATATATTGTTAAATTTTCTACATATAAAGAAACAGTTTATCTGTTGATAATTAGTATGCTCCAAGTGGATTATAGAAAAAGAATGCTGAGCTCATTTGGATTGAGAAATCTCTCTAAATGTAGATTACTAAGGGATTCACCTTCTGATTTTACCTTGCATTGAACGATCTTTCTGTATGCCTGACTGCTTATTCCTTCTAGCTCTATGTATGAGAATATTTTTTAAACTTGTCAAAATAAATGTTGTTTGATGATCTGCCCCTACAATTTGCAAATAAGGTGAGCATGGCCACTCTAGTTTCCTGAGTGGACCTTCCATTTACTCCACAAACATCCATTACTAGATGTACCTAATTAGTTAGCAAATAATACTTACTTTGGTTAATGGCACATTTGAGGTTGGCATTTTTCTGACGAGCTTTTTATGACTGTATGTCTGAAAAAGATTGTTAGTAACCTATTTTATTATAAGAGTGCTAGCAACATGTTATTAAACAATCATTTTAACACACTCTTTTATTCGTTAAAATTTATCAAAAACTACAAAATTATGAAAGATTAATGAAATAAGATCCTGAGATCCACAAAATTATTATTTTCGATAAATTTCAATCAGCAAGAGAGTGTGCAATTAAAATAATGTATTTCTAGCATTTCTCTACATTCCAATGGCATATTCATGGAAAATTTGTGGCTGACTTTGAGTGGTCTACGTTTTACACGGTTATATATGTATATAACACCTTCAAATAGCTTGATATCTTCATATTTTTCTTCGGCACTCTTCCTCATAAATCTTCTGTTTCCACCAGCTCCAGAGCTATTTACCAACGAGTGTCCTATTTAACACTTCTAAGTTAACATAATTCCTAACTGACCACTCTATTACTGAACACACTACCTCCCAATTCACCTAGCTCACTTTTCTCTCCTCCTCCGTAGTCCCCATAAAAATTCCTCTAAAGTATGTTCAGGAAAATGAAAAACATTTTTAGGAGCACAAAAAAAGGAAAATAAGTACAACGGTAAAGAAGAAAAGACCAATCTTAGTAAGAAAATTCTACCTCCAGAAGGGAGGTTTCTTCTCTTCCATCGTGTAAGCAGTTTCCCACGCATCTTGATACGCAAGGAAAAAAATGAGGGGATCTAGAAAGTTTATTACAGAAGAAAATAAATAAATAAAGGAAGCCTTGGAAAAGTTTATTATAGAAGAGAAAAAATAAAGAAAGTGGTGAATAAAGGAAGCGGTGGAAAAGTAAGTGATTGCCGTGCTGTGTTTGGGAGTGGGTCTATATAATTAGACCAATCAGATCCTTTTGGAGGACATGTTTTTTTTAAGAAATTTGAATGGTAAACGAGTGTTAGTAGTTCGTGTGAAAGTTGAGAGCTCTTACGTATTTTCTATTTTTTTTAAGCAATAAAAAAAAAACGAACTCTATTTTTAATCTCTGGAGCTTTGGGTTTTTATTTTCTTCGTCTCTTTCTTTTATCATTTGTTTGATTATCCTTTCAAATTGGTTTGATCTGTGGAATTAAATCAAGGGATTATCGTGGAGAGTCGTATAAAGTGCCTTGGAGAAATGAGGCTGATGAACATGAAAAAGTGGCGGCATAAATAAGAATGGATATGATTGTTAAAGATAGTATGTCAGCCATAAAAAAGTTATCTTGGAAAATTAGGAAAGGAAGAGATAAAATAGGGGGAGAAAACTCGATTAATGGAAATGATAAGAGGGAGGAAAGATTAGTACAAGGAAACAAATCATATGAAGAGGGTGCTAAAACGTTGAGACCTTAGACGAAGAGGGTGGAACTGCCCACTTTCAAAGGTAATGACCTTTGGGATGGATAGCTTGAGCGAAGAAATTTTTTGAAGTGCAAAATGTCAATCAAGAGGAAAAACTACAATTGACTCTTATCAATATGGAAGTAATGCTTACCATTGGTTTAAGTTTTGGTGTTAGAAGAACAAGAACCCATCTTGGGAGGAATTCACAATGACTTCGAATAGAAGATTTGGAGGCAAAGAACACAACAATGTCTATGAAAAATTAACAGCTATATGACAACATGAAAATGTTGAAGACTACATACAAGAATTCGAATTATTAGTGTCGCAAGTTCCTCAAACTTCCGAAGATCAAATATTGGGGTATCTCTTTGCTGGGCTGCAACCAAGTATTTGGAATCAGATTCATCCACACTATCCTAAGGATCTGATAAGAGATATGAAGATCGCTCATGATGTACAAGAAGCTATGCAAGGGTTACGTCAGATTGGAGGACCTTCTTTCCAAAATAATGCATCTAATTATTTATACCAAGGAGGAAATGGGGTGGTATCACAAGTTGAAACCGTAAAAAACAACAATATTTCTAATGCATGGAGAGCCCTGCAAGGATGAGGGAACCCACCAACACCCAAGGATCAAGAATGAGAGGTAATGGTATTACGGGTTTTAGAAACAGGGGAACACGAAATTTGTAATATCCTGGATATGTTAGAAGAAGGGAAGAGGGAAGGTGTTTTCATTGCGGAGAGGCTTAGAGTGCCGACCACAAGTTTAATAGGAGATGGGGAAATGGGAGAAATGATGGATAATAGGCTAAGTGAAGTGAGGGAACTAATGGAGAAGAATCGGGAGGAAATATTGATCAAGATTGTCAATATTTGGACTTATCCATTTCCTCTGCAGGGGGCATGGCCCAATCTCACACCATGAAGATGCAGTGGAAAAGTAAGACGAGGATGCGTGTTGGTGTTGATTGATAGTGGGACGAGTCACAACTTTATTTCCTCAGAGTTGGTGCGATTACTTGATCTACCATTTGAATCTACTCCACCTTATGGTGTCAGATTGGGGGTTGGATACAGAAAGAAGACACAAGGATATCGTAGGGATGTAAGAGTGCAATTGGAAGAATACAAGGTTAAGGAGACATTTTTCTTGTTTGAACTTGGAGGAGTATATGTAAGGTGAATCGGAAGACTTTATCCATGAATTTCTACACTCAAGGCTGACTATTCAAAATTAAAGGCGACCTCATTTTATCAAAAACTTTAGTGACCCCACAAGCTTTGAGAAAAGAATTAGAAATTAAAGAGGTTTCTATTATATGAAAGATACAAAATGTTGATATTGTGCCAGTAGATGACAAGAACAATCATTTAACTAAGAAGCAAAAAAAAAAAAAAAAACAAGTTGGGAATGGTTTTAAAAGATTGTGAAGAAGTCTTCAATGAACTTAAATATCTGCCATCACATAGGAATGTTGATCATAAAATCGCCATCAAATCTGGAGTTGATCCACTGAATGTAAGACTCTATAGATATCCTTACATGTTAAAAACTAAAATAGAAAAACAAGTGGGAGAAATGTTAAAGTTTGAGATCATTAAGCGTACCAACAACTCGTATATAAGTCTTGTTATTTTAGTTAAAATGAAGGATGAAAGTTGGAGGTTTTGTGTGGATTATCATGTCTTGAACAAAGCTATTATTCAAAATAAGTTTTCCTATAACAATAATAGAAGAATTATTGGATCAACTGCATGGAACACACTTTTTTTCAAAAGTATAATTGAGTGCGGGTTATCATCAAATCTGTATGCATGAACCAAATATTCAAAACACGACTTTCTGAACTCACCATGGACGTTACCATAATGAGGAATATCTCCAAAAAGTTTGTCTTAGTTTTCCTTGATGATATTTTAATCTATAGTAAAACTTGCGCGGAACATTTGAACAATTGTAAACACTAAAAAGATAATATAAAAAATAAAAATAAAAACAAGCATCCTACGACCACCAGCATGACCAACCACCCTAAGCTCCAACATGTTACCAGACTTGTATAAATTGAGAGGGAGACGTTAAGGCTGGAGGAGAAAAAAAAACTTTTGGTTTTCAGATTAAAAGAAGAACATAAAAAAAGGAAAAAAAAAACTCATCACAAACAAACAGAACATCCACCATCATCACACATCCACCATAATAGAACCCTCAGTCAATACAGCCATAGCAGTACAACAACTCAAAAATAGTTATCAACAGAGGCAAGAAGTATTTGTATCCTGTTTCCAATTCCTAAGTGTAGCCTGAAGTATTTGTTGTATATCTAAACATATTGCACATATTTCATAACGACTAATAAAAATCAACAAAAAAAAAACTCATTTACCATTACCACCAACGACTATCACAGCGAGCTCCACCATCTCACTGGCGGCTACCATAGTAAACCCATCATACCACCGACAACCACC